TTAATTGTTTATCAATTTTATATAACTTACTTATAAGTAGAAATTACTTAATTTCTGCTTGTAAAAAGTATATTTTACATATTTCATTTCTTTTTTAAAATTTTAAATTTGTTTCAATTGTAAGGGTGCAATGCAACTGTTTAATTCACCCTTTGGGGACAATATCGCAACAGTTTTCACGAAAATATTGTCGGCACGCCATTTTGTATTTCCTTCGTCTTTAAAATATTGAAAACGAACCCAGTTTGTGCTGCCAACAACGAGTTATTTATGAAGTATTAATAATCTCATAATTTTATAATTGATAAAGGGGGGAAGGGGAAGGTGAACATTGACGACTCGTCACGGAAGGGATTGAGACTTTTACACTTTAATCAAATCAAAAATGCAGATAATATGTAAAATAAACTTGTTACTGAGTTAATTAAGACCGGTCCTGTTTTTATACAAATTTTGGCTACTTTGTTTGCATACTGAAGATGCTGTTAATTAATTTTAATCCTAATTTTATTATTTGACGAGTCGTCAATGGTATCTGTTGTTTTCATGTTGTCTAATAAAATTGGAAATATGATCCGAGAGATGCTGCCCAATCGGGAAATATTCAAACTATAATTAATTGCCTTAAAAAATAAGAATAATAAAAACGCTGTCATAGACGGCTCGTATTTAGATAAACTGGGAGTTAGATAATAAATGACAAAAATAATACCGAGGGCATTGTTAATTCGTACAAATGACTTCAGTCAACTTTTCATATAAATAATAAAGTTAATAAAAGTCTAACGCGATTTAAACATTTTGGGAGGATGTTACGCATTGTTTAAAAAGATTTTGAAGGTTTGGTTAGTTTGCAACAGTTTTTAGCAAGAAATAGGGGATATTTTCAGATAAATGTGGTTGATAAAACATATTCAAAATAACAACATTGTGCATTTTTGTTTCCATAACATAATAAGAAAAAAAATCCGACAAACAAATGTGTGGTTTCTATGTTTTGCCTTACCTGTATATGAAATTTGATTTTTTTACATTTACATATTGTCTATCAATGTAAGTAGTACATTTAAAAATAAAATATACATTATTTATAGGAACGTTTAATATGTATCTATAATAAAATGTGAAATTTAAAGCTTAACTTTGTTAGATAATAAAAAACAAAATTGATCTAAAAAATTTAATCGTCATACGTAAGCATACAACTCGAAATTTTCAGAATTTAAAAGGGTTGTATTAGTTATGTTTTTAATAATCCATTAATAATATTAAAGCATTAATTTTATTTTGGTTTTAACCCTTTTTTGGTATTTCTTTTGCAGCGGTTTGCTTTAATTACAATTCTTAATAACTTAACGAATTATTACTTTTTTTATTCCAATTTTGTAGTCATAATGAGACGCCTATGGTGTTTATTGGCTTTAATTTTATTGTGAAAACTGACCCGTAAGGTGCTGCCTTTTACTACAAATATTTAAACTATAAGGAATTATATTCAAATTTTACCTTTTTTTCCTTTTATTTTTAGAAAATATCGTCTGATACAACATAAAAATTAACTGATGATAGAAATCCTGGTTTTCATCACGTATTTTTATTCATCACAATTTTGAATATTTTAAAAACAAAAAAAAATCAATCAGATTTTTTTTAAAACCTATTTCATCTACAAAATAATCTAGGAGGGTAAATACATGGGTAGGTAATAAAAAAAGTACTTAGAATTATGTAGACGCTTATTAGATGATTACTTTTTTTTATGCTACTTTTTTTTGGTATAAAAATAGTACGAGCCCCTTGCAGTGGGTGGCACGGGGTCTCCAAAAAGT